ATCACAGAATAATTTTATAATAAGACAGTATAATTTCCAAATAACATCATTGTCACCAAACACCTGCAAGGCACGGTCACCTTATCTGGGCTCCGTCCTCTCCTCAGGCATCTCACCCCAGAGCTTGCTATATAGCAGGAGACATGCAAATACGGTCCTACCTCTGCTGATAAAACCAGCCCGGCCCTGAACCTGCAGCTGTGGGAGAGCAGCGCCGGCCCTGGGATTCCCAGGAGTTTCCACTTGGTGATCAGCACTGAACACGGACCACCAACCATGGAGTGTGTGCTGAGCTGGGTTTTCCTTGTTACAGTTTTGAAAGGTAATTCATGGAGAACTGGAGACACTGAGTGTGAGGGGCCATGAGTGAGGGGAACAGTGGGTATGTGTGGCAGTTAATGACAAGGGTGTCTCTGTGTTTGCAGGTGTCCAGAGTGAGGTGCAGCTGGTGGAGTCTGGGGGAGGCTTGGTCCAGCCTGGGGGGTCCCTGAGACTCTCCTGTGCGGCCTCTGGATTCACCTTCAGTAGCTACTACATGCACTGGGTCTGCCAGGCTCCAGGGAAGGGGCTGGAGCGAGTGGGTTTTATTAGAAACAAAGCCAATGGTGGGACAGCAGAATACGCCGCGTCTGTGAAAGGCCGATTCACCATCTCAAGAGATGATTCAAAGAACTCACTGTATCTGGAGATGAGCAGCCTGAAAACCGAGGACACGGCCGTGTGTTACTGTGCGAGTGACACAGTGAGGGGAGGCCCGTCTGAGCCCGGACACAAACCTCCTGCGGGGGCGCGGGGCCACTGAGGACGGGGCAGGTCCCAGGAGCAGGTGCAGGGGGAGATTTCCTTTCTCCACAGCTGGAAAAGTCAGCTTTGTATTTGCAGAATTCTGGAGCATTTTAGGCTGTGATATTTTATTACTCATATTTGTTATAAATTGGTTAACTTTAGTATTTGAATGTTACTAATTATTAAAATTATGCATATACAAATATTTTTTAAACATATACTTTCAAGGAAAAAAACATTCCTAATTATTTGCACTGATTCTTCCAGGGTTTTATTAACATTTGTTGACATCAACAACCACATAGCTATAGGTACTTAAATGTATACGCATAGAAAGATGCATAGGCCGGGCGTGGTGGCTCACGCTTGTAACTCCAGCTTCTCAGGAAACTGAGGCAGGAGAATTCCTTGAACCAGGTGGGTGGAGGTTGCAGTGAGCCCTGGTCATGCCACTGCAGTCAAGCCTGGGTGACAGAGTGAGACTCCATCCGAAAAAAAATGGAAGAAAGAAATAAAGAAAGAAGTAAGTATAAATACACAGACCTATGCACATATGTTGTAGGCATTCATATAAAACATTACAATAAAATAATTCTGAAAATTATTTTAAAAAATCAGACTCAATGATGAACAAAATATAAATTATTAGAGTAATTCACAATGGATTTCAATTATTTTTCATTGTTTACATGAATTGATTTCTGTTTGTTCATTTAAAAGTAGTATATTGGCCATTTCAAAAGAGGTAAGAGTACATTTTAAATGTTGTTATCACACTAAATGATAAGAATTTGAGGTGATGAATGATAATTATTTCTTATTATCTTAGTTATTCCATATTGCATTCGCAAATCAGAACATTGCTTCTTACCTTGTGAATATAAACAGTCATTATTTGTGAATTTAAAAGAAAAATTTTTTATTTCAATTTTTAAAATTTATTTCAGATCATTATCTTTTTCTTCACTTCC